ATTAGTTAGTATTATATATATAGTCATTTATAATTTTATTAAATTTCAAATAAATTAAAACATACTTAATCACTTAATGTTTCTAAAAATATTAAATATAATATAATCACAATATACACCTAAAGAAAATGAAGAAGCTAATGAAATTAAATAAATTTAATTATTGATATATGTATAAAAATTTTATGATAAAAGCAAAAAAATATCTAATATAATTAATATATAAAAAATGAGTGAGATATGGAGGATTTCTGCAACAATTAAGGAAGGAAAATGATGAGAAATGGAGGCATTCAACCAGCACATCATGCACATAGAAGGAATTGTAGAAGGAGGAATGAAAATGGAGGAGATCAGCTTGGTGTGGAGTAGGGGGGGTGGAGTATATAAAGAACCTTTAGCATCATGTCTCATGTTGCTAAAAGGTTTGCTCTCCAATCAGCAACATGTTCCATGTTGGTAAAAGTGATTGCAATTCGCACCATCATGCCTCATCACCGATGTGGAGCATATTGCTAAATTTCAAAGTGCCACCTCCCGCGTGCCCATTTATTGCCCATTTACTAATTCATATATTTTGATGAGTTAAATGTGATTTTATTGAATTTTAAATATATATATTTTTATTTTTACAAAAAAAAAAGACTGGAAACATGAAATTAGAAATTTTGGAACTTTAAGTATAACTCTTTCAAAAGTTTTAGGACTAAAATGTAATAAGAAAAGTTTAAATTGGGACCAAATTGAATAAATTTAAAGTTTGAGGATCAAAGTACATTGAAACCAAAGGTTTAGGGACTAACAATTGTTCATTTGGAAGAATGGACGGTGTTATAACGTCCGTCAACGGATGGGATGATGCTTGGCACTTTCTCCAAAATTGAAGGATTTTTATATATTTTTTCTAACTAGAAGGATGACATTGAGTCCTTTTGCAAAGTTGGAGGATTTCCAATGGCAATAAGCCGTTCCTTTTGCTTGATATATTTTTCTCATTTATTAATGGATTTATTATTACTTTAACAAAAAAAATATCCATAAATAAAGTTTTAGTAATTAAGAATGGATTTATCTAACATGTACTTTTAAGGCACATGTTAAAAATGTAATAAATATATTTTTTATAGTTAATTTACATTAAAAATTATAAAAATTAATATATATTTTAACATTATTAATATGTTGATAATTTTAATTAGTTAATTGATTAAATTAAAGTCATCATTTATACTTTTAATAAAAATTAATTATAAAAAAATACATTTAGTGCACCTAAGGGCACAAAATAGAAAAATTCATTAAGAATTTCACTTTTTTTTTTATTAAAGATCTTAAATCCAATGGCAATATAATAATAAGAACTTGAGTTCTCATATTGGCTAAATTTAATGCTTGCTTTATTTTGTTTTAAAAAATTTATTTTCTATAAAAATATACATAATGCAATTGGCAATATGGATTTTATTTATTTGTTTAATATTCAAAAGGAAAATACCATTTATCTGTAATAATTTATTATTTTAAAAAAATAGTTGCATCTCCCTCTCGACTTTAACTCTCTCCTCTTTTTCTTTTTTTTTTTTCTTCACATTTATAGAAATTTGAGAGAAATACCATTCTTCTTGTAAAAGGTTTGAGTAGCTCCTTTTAAACCACCTTTGTTTTTCTTAGTGGAGAGTGTAAATGACATCCTTGGTGAGTGAAGCCAAAGTGGAAGACTACACTCCAAGTGGTTGGACCAAACCTCTATAAAAACATTGTGGTTGGACCAAACCTCTATAAAAACATTGTGCAAAGCTCTTCTTCCCTACTCTCTCTTTAATTTATCACTTAACTACAATTGTGTACTTATATAATTTCCCCTTAACCTAATCATAAATGAAAAGACAACTATATAATTACCACATTCTGCATGTAATATGACTACTATTTATTATAAGCCTATAACTTAGAGCAATTTAGTTAATATTACTGTAAAACATTCACTCCAAAGTGACATACAGACCAATGTCCAAACAAATTAAAATCATCCATCAATAAACCGAAAGTAGTTCCATGAAAAATCAACAACACAACAAGTTCTAAGTTCACAACCTCTTTCACAACCATCATTCTGGCCCAAATGGACACAGGTAATATGCATCAAATCTCAGGTGGTAAACATAATCATCATGTGGAGGATTGATTGGGGATGTATCAGTTGATGTATCAGCTGCTTCTGACTATCTCGCTACATTGCCAATGGGGATTCCATGCTCCATTGGGAGCTGCATTGACATATCATGCTGAAATGATGGCCCAACAGGAGGACATGATGTCCCAATAGGAGGAAATGCTTGTCCAGCTTGAGGAAATGATGGGCCAACCATAGGGGGGCGCATCCCATATGCATTAAAAGTAGCAAATTGTTGTGACAAACATGATTGCATCCTGCCCATCTCTTCCATTATGCGTTTCATTACTTCTCTTTCCTCCTTCACATGGTCTATTTTCGTCCTCATCCTTTCCATTGTCTCTCGGTCCTATGCTTGTTTTTTAGCAAGGTCAGATATCATCAAACTCATATATGAATTCTTTGTTGGCCCTCGTTTTCTATAAGTAAATCCAATATCCTCTGGGTTGACTTGTGACCTAATCCTGGGCATGAAGTTTCCATGACATCCCCCAACAGCATTTGCCATGCATCATTATCTTTTGGCGACCATGAATCTGAGTCTGATCCATGTGTAATAGAGCACTCAGCAACATATGTATCCTACAAAAGTAGTGTACAAAAATACATCATCTATAAGTGTGAATTTAGGAATGATTTATGCATGTAACAATGCTAAAATATGTAACCATTTGTATTAACATAACAGTGATAACAGAGTACCATTCGTTAACATACAATCACTTGTCTTTTTACTTAGTACTATAATATTCAATTTTCATACAATGTTGTTCTTGCTTTCAACATACCTACTCTAGTTACTCAATACCAAAATCTATTTCATAAACACCAACATATACTGATATTTACTTATGCAAAATTCCTTTGATATTTTATTTAGTGCTTCTAGCTTTTTAATATACCATTTATTATCTTTTGTTAACAATCCACATCACTCATGGGACAATCTTATATACTATGATTGCACTTACATGACGAGCTCTATGTTTTTCGCCACACCAAGGAGCTTCCTCACCTTGGGGGACACCTTTCCGCATTGTATGTGTTTCCCTGTATAGGTCTTGATGTCCAGGTCTCACCCCCCCAACAGCTTTGGTCTGTATGTCACAACCATATTACATCAATTACCAAGTCATCTATGTTTATAGTTTACAGATTATTATATATTTTTTTCTTTTTTCCCTGCCTTACCATCCTTTCTTCGTGCACATCAAAACTCACAGATCCTATTGTGTGCGTCACCCTGTCACCAGATCCACGATTTTTTTTCCCCCTACCACTGAGACTAGCAAACTCAGGAGAATCCCAGTAAGTGCATAGGTTTGGCCATAGGTGATCTGGCACCCATATCGGTTTGTAGTCACTGTCTTTCCTCCATTTGTCCCGCTCATCCTTCATGTTGTTACTCCATCTTTTCTTCATTAAGCTTAAGAAAGCCTTCCTCACTGCATCCTCTTCTTGCACAAGCCATTTATAATGTGCCTGTAACAACATATCGACCAATTATTTTGTAGTACACTAGTAACACATACCATACTACTAGATTATATAGACAATATTGCATTTTATTATGCATACTTTGACTTTAATACAAGTAGCATTAATCATAGGTACTTATTAAATGTCATGATTATGTATGAACTGACAATTCTTTTTACCTTAAATTGCTCCCACACTTGCACCCGTTTTTCTTCTGGAAACAGCTCATAGGTGAAGTAATCACCATCATAGAACCTCTTCCACAAGGTTGTAATCAATCTTGGCACTTCTACATCCAAGAATTGTCTATTGGGTGAAAATTGTATAAGTGGTCTCTCATCAGGTGTTTTTGGACCTTTCTTAGCTTTGTTGGGCCCTCTTCCCTTCTTGCCCTCCTGATTTCCTGAAGTTGCAACGTGAATTGATGCTTATGGACTAATAGACTGCACTGGACGTGGCTCCATTATTGGGGTACTCGAACAACCTAGATCTACAGCATTAGATTGTGCTCGTCTCCCTACTGTCCCCCGACTGCATGCGGAGCTCATGGGCCCACCTGACATCCTGCAAAACATATGGTCCTGTAAAATATGTTAGTACTTTTTCACCAAAGATTTATATTTCCCTATTTATGAATTTTTTATGCAATTATAGTATCATAAGTAATGGTAATGAACCAAAAAAAAAAAAAAAAGGGGCAATAGTCAGTACTCTAAGCATACATGTTTCATAAAAATATCAAGTTGAACAAAACAATATACCAAAGAGCATATATTGAGTGTTTAAACTATTATTATGTATTGCTACTATCGCTATCAACATCCCCTAATGTCTCATATCCTTCATCTCTTTCATTCGCAGTTTGATCTACATCATCATCCCCATTTTCATTTATTTGAACCACTGTTGCTCCACCTGTATGCAACACGACGGGTTTTATTGATACAACATCAATGCTATTCTCATTTGATTGCGTGGATGGTGGCTCTTCATCTTGGAATGTTTCATCCATTTCAAATGTAGTCAAAGAAGTGTCAACCAAATGTCTAGCACGTATTTTGCATGCGACGAACCATCCATGAATTGTTTGATTATTTGATGGGTAATTAGTATAATACACTTGAGTTGCTTGACATGCCAAGCAAAATGGCTCGTCGATTGACATTTTATGCTTTGGATTGACCTCAACAAGGTCGTAAACTTGGTTCACATGTGTTTCCCTATTTGTATCGAACCAATCACAATTGAATAAGACAATTGTCTGTAGCCCATGTGGGCCATAATATAGTAGCTCAATGACTTCATTAAGGATGCCATACTAATCAGTCTTAGCCTCATTAGATATGGTTGTTCCTTTGACACATACACCACAATTATACGTTTGTCTTTTGCTACTGACTTCTTGTGTTATAAATCTAAAATCATTGACATAATATCCTGTGTACACATTCACTGTCCATGTTGGCCCAATTGCAAGGTAGTGCAATACCTCATTCACTTCATGATAGCCACTTAACACATACCAAATTTATATGTATGTATCATTAATCAAATTTATACTATCTTCCTTCCTTAATAAATTAAATAGTTTGTATCAATAAATAACGGAGTTAATATATTGTATACTATATATGCATAGGTATATAGTAACATTAGAAATAGCTTAACATGATGAAGAAATATTGTTACCCTATTTTTGAACCATGTAACAAAACTTTTGGTATGTGCTTCTTATGGATTGGAAGGACTCATATATGCTCCAACTTCTTGATAAAAAATGCTGAAATATGGAAACAATTAGGTGTGACCACAATTGGAAACTTGAACTTTCATGCAGTAATGTATAAAGCAGACTCCGAAATTATGTAAAATATGATTTTGTTTTGAGATCTCTCATCGGAGAAGCCCATCAACTTCCCTATAGTTTAGCAGTACATAAAGTTCAGCTGCTTGCATCTCTTGAATTATTAGACAACGTGTCCTTGAATGTGAACCTACCAGATGTCTAGTATAACATACCTCCCTAAGCACTTTTAGTTATAGGAGAGTTCAGAAATAAGATTTATAATAAAGAATTGCAGCAGAAATAAAAACACTTTTGAAAAGAGAAGATTATAAATACCTGTAAAAGAAAAACCACTTTAACAAGTCAATATATATATATTGAAAAAAATGCCAAAATATTCAAAGTTATAAAATAAGCCGAACTAAGCTCATTTATAATTAATTAAAGATTTTATACATAAAGGTAATTTACACAAAAATTATATGAGGCAAATTCTTCTCCAAAGCTTTTCAAAAGAACAAAAGTTGAGTCGTTGTTTTGGTAACATATCGTTCTGCCTCCCTATCGAAAACACGAGACCCTAGCTTGTACATACAATGAGCATGTGAGTCCCATGCCAAAAGCTCCTAAACCAAGAGGCTACTACCTTGATCTACTGATCTGAAATGAGGGGGGAATTTTATGAGCTAACAGCCCAGTAAGTAATAAGTTTAAGCTATAAACTTGGGTCCTAAGACCTTTAGACCTATCCACACAAAGAGCATAAGACACAACGGAATCAAATCACATAATATTATAATTCCCACTATTTAAATAATAACTTAATATCTCAAATCATAAGCACAAATGTCAAGGAATAATCAATGACATTTAAATTGAATTTATATACTAAAATCATATGCTCACAAATACGATGTCACAAGCACAATGCATAAAATCGAAAATCACACAATGCTATGGAGTCCACTGAGGTGTGCTAGCAACACTGTACCGGAGCTAATCACGGTACTAACCCTACTGCGCAGAGGTCCACTAAATACCCCGGAGGGTCCACTGAATACCCCAAGCTTTAAGCTTAGGTCCACTTACTCCATAGCCACAAACACATACACATGTCAAACAAATTCATAATATATCCAAAATAATATTAGGACTTCCTATTGAAAGAGATCAAAGTATAGTGCGTGAACAGTAATCGTGAACAGTACAATTTACTTATAATTCCTCTAGCAAAAATTCACATCCAAATCAAACATAAAAAGCATTAACTCACTGTCTTTCCCATATAAGCTCCAAAATTAAGGATATTTCTAATGAAATTTTAATACCCAAAAATCTTATAAACCAAAGGATTAAAGTCAAATCTCACCAATTTAAACTACCCAAAACTCTAACCCAAAATTCATAACTAAAATTTATACTTACCTAACAAAAGGCACCTTAACTTTGGTTGGAGAAAGAAGGAAGAAAAGGATGTAGGTGGAAGAGGGAGGCGTAGGAAAACAAAATGGGGCTTTTGGGAGCCTTCTGGAGGCTTATCCAAGTTTCCACCGACAAAGAAAAAAAAGCTTGGTTGGGACAATGCCATGTGGTAAGCAAAATTGAGATAATTGAGTTATGGTCATTCAACTTCTACTAAATTCTACATAAAACCCCCAAACTTTAAATTCAATCAATTTAACCCCTAAAACTATAAACTAAAGGACACTAATTTTTAAATTATTCACTAAGGTATGTGGGGTGTTACATCCTCCCCACCTTAAAAGGATTTGGCCCATCAAATCATTTAACTTACCAAAATAGATTTGGATACTGCCCCCTCATCTGACTTTCAAGTTCCCATGTAGCTTCATTCTCAGAATGATGCCGCCACAACACTTTCACTAAGGACACAGTCTTGTTCCTCAAAACTTTTTCTTTCCTATCCAAAATCTGTATTGGCTGTTCGGTGTAACTCAAATCTTCCTTCAACTCTAATGGTTCATAGTTTATGACATGTGAAGGATCCGACTCATACTTCCTCAAAACTGACACATGAAATACATTATGCACATTTGACAATTCTAGAGGCAATGCAATTCTATAAGCCACTTCACCTACCCTTTCAAGAATCTCAAACGGGCCAATGTACCTCGGACTGAGTTTTCCTTTCAAACCAAACTGATACACTCCTTTAGTTGGTGACACCTTAAAAAATACATGATCTCCAACTTCAAATTCCAAAGGTCTCCTTCTATTATCTGCATAACTCTTTTGTTTGTCTTGAGCCACTTTAAGCCTCTGCTGAATTAATTTCACCTTTTCTGTTGTTTGCTACACAAAATTAGGCCCCATTACCCTTCCATAGCCAACTTCTGCCCAACAAATTGGAGTTCTACATCTCCTGCCATAAAGAGCCTTATAAGGTGCCATTTTGATATTGGAATGATAGCTGTTATTATAAGCAAACTCTGCCAATGGAAGATGATCATCCCAACTCTCAGGAAAATCTAATGCACAAGCTCTTAGCATGTCTTCAAGCACCTGAATGGTCCTTTCAGACTGCCCATCAGTTTGTGGGTGGTATGCTGTGCTTAATTTTAATTGAGTTCCCATGGCTTTTTGAAAAGATCTCCAAAATCTCGCAATAAACCTTGGATCTCTATCTGATACAATGCTCACTGGGACCCCATGGAGTCTAACAATCTCCTGAACATAAAGCTTGGCCAACTTGTCTAATGGGTCTTTTGTTTTATGGCCAAAAAGTGAGCTGACTTTGTTAATTTGTCCACAATCACCCAAATTGCACCAAATTGCCTTCTCGTCTTCGGCAATCCCATAATGAAGTCCATTGAGATGGCTTCCCACTTCCACTCCGGTATAGGCAAAGGTTGAAGTTGCCCTCCTAGCTTCTGGTGCTCTGCTTTTACCACTTGACAAGTCAAGCATTTGGACACATATTTAGCCACATCCTTTTTCATACTTTTCCACCAGAATGTCTCTTTCAAGTCATGATACATTTTGGTACTCCCAGGATGAATGGTATAATTGGACTTGTGTGCTTCTTGGAGCAATTCCGTCCTCAGCCCTTCATCATATGGAACACAAATTCTATCTCCAAGTCTTATGATTCCATCATCCGAAATATGAAGACCCATTTTGGAGCTTTTTCCATTGTCCTTCATCCACTCCATCAATCTTGAATCTTTTTGTTGTGCTTCCTTGATCTTTGACAACAGCGTAGGTTGAACCATCAGACTAGATACTAGTACATCAGACTTTGGTGGCAAAAACCTGACATTCAAATTCTTGAATTCTTCTAGGAGTTTCCACTCCATAACCATTAAGCTTGTTAAAGTGCCAGTTGATTTTCTGCTAAGTGCATCTACAACCACATTTCCCTTTCTAGGTTGATAGACAATTTTGCATCTATAGTCATTCAGATACTCCATCTATCTTCTTTGTCTTAAGTTAAGCTCTTTTTGTGAAAATAAATATTTCAAGCTTTGGTGATTAGTGTGCACGTCAAACTCTTCTTCATACAAATAGTGCCTCCACAACTTAAGTGCAAAAATTATGGCAGCAAGTTCTAAATCATGTGTAGGGTAATTCCTCTCATGTGTCTTGAGCTGTCTAGACCCATAAGCTATCATCCGTCCATGTTGCATAAGTACACAACCCAAGCCTTTGTGAGAAGCATCAGTATATACCACAAAGTTTCCTCCATTGTCGGGAATAGCAAGAATTGGTGTTGTGACCAATCTGTTCTTCAACTCTTAAAAGCTTTGCTCACATTTATCTGTCCATTCAAACTTCTGATTCTTACGAGTAAGTTGTGTTAATGGACAAGAAATCTTTGAATATCCCTCCACAAACCTTCTATAATATCATGCTAGTCCAAGAAAACTCCGCACTTCGGTGACACTAGTCGGCCTTTCGCACTTCACAACTGCTTCCACTTTACTAGGATCAACTGATATGCCGTCCTTCGAGACAATATGACCTAAAAAACTAATATGATTCAGCCAAAACTCACACTTATCAAACTTGGCATATAACTTCTTTTCTCGCAAAATCTGTAATACAATGGCTAGATGCTCCTCGTGGCTCTCTTCTCCTTGTGGCTCTCTTCATTAGGAGAAAAGATAAGAATGTCATCAATGAAGACAATGACAAACTTAGCTAAGTACAGCTGAAAGATCCTATTCATAAGATCCATAAAAGCTGCAGGGCCATTGGTTAAACCAAACGGCATTACCAGGAACTCGTAGTGCCCATATCTGCTTTTAAAAGCAGTATTCATCACATCCTCGGGTTTAACCTTTGGTTGATAATAACCTAATCTAAGATCAATTTTGGAAAAGACACGAGCCCCTTGTAACTGATCAAACAAATCATCAATCCTTGGCAAAGGATATTTGTTCTTGATGGTGACTTGATTCAACCGTCTATAGTCAATGCACAATCTAAGTGAGCCATCTTTCTTTTTCACAAAAAAGAACCGGAGCACCCCAGGGAGAAGTACTGAGTCTAATGAACCCCTTATCAAGAAGCTCTTGCAACTGCTTTTTCAATTCAATTAATTCTGCTAGGGCCATTCTATAAGGTTGCTGGGATATTGGTGCAGTACTAGGCACAAGGTCTATAGTAAACTCAATCTCCCTATTTGGAGGTAGCCCAGGCAACTCCTTAGGGAAAACATTAGGAAAGTCTTCCAATACCGAAATTTCTTCTACCGACACCGGCTTGTCTTTAGATTCAAAAACATATGCCAGATATCCATAACACTCATGCTGCAACATTTTATCAGCTTTCATGCAAGAAACAAGTAATGGAAATGATCCAACTTTTTCTCCTTCAAACCGAATCACAGGTTGGTTAGGAGTGAAAAAAGTAACCACATTCTCATAACAATCAACCATGGCATAATGGGTAGACAACCAATCCATACCAAGTATGACATCAAATTCCACTATGCCTAACAAAATCAGATCGGCAAGCAAAACTCTACCTTCTACCATAACTCTACAAGATCTATAAATGGTTTTTGATGTTAAAACCTCCTTAGAAGGAGTATTCACCACAAGCACACAATTAAGGGTCTCAGGCTCCACATGCAAAAATGGCACATACTTAGGTGACACAAATGAGTGGGTAGATCCAGAGTCAATCAACACATGGGCATTCCCAAAAGAGATAAGTATTTTACCTTTTATAATTGTAGGAGTGTTGTGAGCCTGTTGTTTTGTGATGACAAAAACTCTTCCTTGAACCATGGGCTTCTTATTATCTTGATACTTTGGCTGCTGACTTGCTCCCTTGAGAACCGGGCAATCCTTGATCAAGTGGCCAGTCTTCCCACACTTGAAACATGTCCCAGTTTTCCAATAACATTCTTTTCCCCTATGGTTCTTACCGCACCTCTTACAAAAATCAAAACTAGGTCTGTTGCTTTCAGGGATCTTCCTTTTTCCCCTTTGTTCAGGCTTCTTGTTGAAAGGCTGGTTGTTAATAGCCTTTCCCTTGCCTTTTGAGTCATGAGTCTCCATTTTTTGCTCCTCCATATCTTGCTCAATTATTTGAGCCGTGGCCAAGACCTCATCATAAGTCTTTAGCATTTGAGGAACCACCTTGTTCCTAATGGAAGCTTTCAACCCTCTTTGAAACTTCCTTGCCTTCCTAACTTCATCATTAACAAGGTGAGGAGCAAACTTCATAAGAGAACTGAATTTAGCTTGATACCCATCAACTGTCATGTCATCTTCCTTCAAATTCATGAACTCCAGTTCCTTTCTTTCCAACACAGCTGTAGAAAAATATTTTCGATAGAAAGCCTGAACAAACTTGTCCCATGTAACCTCTTCCCCTCTCTTAGAAAACCCATCTTGAGTAGTTGTCCACCAATCATCAGCTTCACCTTATAATGTGAACATTGCTAGCTCCACTTTTTGCCCGTCAGTACATTTCAGGAGCTTGAACATCTTTTCTAATTTCTTAACCCAAGACTCAGCCACATCGGGATCAGGAACTCCATTGAAGCTAGGCGGGTTCATGTTCTGAAATTGCTTCACCAATGTCAACTGCTCATTTCCTTCTCTAGATTCCACTGTTTGCTGTGAATTGCCACCAGTGTTTTGTGGGGCATTATTGTTGTTCTGATGTTGAAGATAATCCCTAAAGATGGAACTCATATCCGTAATGGCCTTTTGCATTATGTCCATTCGGGCATTCACATCATCAGCAGGAGGAGGAGTAGAAGTATTGTCTCCTTGACTCATCTTTCTTCTCCGGTACTGATATAAGCAAAGAGTGCAAAACTAATACTTAGGCAAAATCTAATCCTATGACACTAGACTTTAACTCATATGGCAGATCAATATATTAGCAAAACCTTGGCTTTGATACCAAAAATATAACACACCTTCCTAAGCACTTTTAGTCCTAGGAGAGTTCGGAAATAAGATTCATAATAAAGAATTGTAGCAGAAATAACAACACTTTTGAAAAGAGAAGATTATAAATACCTGTAAAAGAAAAACCACTTTAACAAGTCAACATATATATTGAAAACAATGCCAAAATATTCAAAGTTATGAAATAAGCCGAACTAAGCTCATTTATAATTAATTAAAGATTTTATACATGAAAGTAATTTACACAAAAATTATATGAGGCAAATTCTTCTCCAAAGCTTTTCAAAAGAACAAAAGCTGAGTCATTGTTTTGGTAACATATCGATCTGCCTTCCTTTAAAAAACACAAGGCCCTAGCTTGTACATACAATGAGCATGTGAGTCCCGTGCCAAAAGCTCCTAAACCGAGAGGCTATTACCTCGATCTACTGATCTGAAATGAGGGGGGGGAATTTTATGAACTAATAGCCCAATAAGTAATAAGTTTAAGTTATAAACTTGGGTCCTAAGACCTTTAGATCTATCCACACAAAGAGCATAAGACACAACTGAATCAAATCACATAATATTATAATTCCCACTATTTAAATAATAACTTAATATCTCAAATCATAAGCACAAATGTCAAGGAATAATCAATGACAT